GTAATCTCAGCACTTTGGGAAGCCGAGGTGGGCAGATCACCTGAGGTCAGGAGTTCAAGACCAGCCTGGCCAACATGGTGAAACCCCATCTCTACTAAAAATACAAAAATTAGCCGGATGTGGTGGCACATGCCTGTAATCCCAGCTACTTGGGAGGCTGAGGCATGAGAATCACTTAAACCCTGGAGGCGGAAGTTGCAGTGAGCCGAGACCGCACCACTGCCTGTACTCCAGCCTGGGTAACAGAAGGAGACTCGGTCTCAAAAAAAAAAAAAAGTCACACAGAGAAGCATGGCAATCAATGAAAAGTGAAATTCTTCCTCTTTCCCAGGCATTGATTCCCTTGTAACTTTTAGTTTTAGCCTTTCTGGTGGTCACTGCCAATATTCTAGATAACCTATTCTCAGACAGTCTAGTTCTAGCTTTGTCATCTTTAGATAACATATATCAGTGCTCTCATGATGAAAAATGAACATTTTAGCTCCTTTGTGGCATCTCACCTTTCTTTCCCCATTCTGAGATGTATTAAGGACATACCATTTGAAATTCTTCTGTTGGTCAACTTGACAGTTTTAATAACTTGAATCTCTCTTTCCCCTTCCACTCAGCTTAGACAAGAGTGCTGTACACCCACAGCACTTGAGGAGGAAATTGGCTTCTCAACACTATTCTGCATCTTTCCCGGAAATCCCCCTTCCCTGTCCCCATGCTCTACAGTCCTGACCGTAGTCTATTATAGCACTACCTGTAGTCATCAAGGTTTATAAGATCCAGCTTCTTGTCTACAGCCAAGTGAGGTCTTCTGGGCTTTGACCATTGGGGGATTCTACCAGGGGAAAAGCAGTAAGTGCACTTATAGCATCAGGATCACCTGGGTAGATGGTCCCTTAATTGCCTCCCTCCTCAACTGTGAGCCTTGTGAGGACAAGGGCTGTTCCCATCCCAGGCACTCCCCCATCTCTGGCACCAACACAGGCCTGGCACTTGGTAGATGTTCCATAAATATCCACTGCAGGAGTGAGTGAAGTCGGAAGTGTTTTTCGAAGAGTCAGGAGACAATATTAGGAGGACCATGTAAAGTTGCTCATATTGAACTATTATGACCTATAAAATCAATTTCATTTGATTCAACTTAATGTCAGCGAAGCCCTGAGCACAGAACGTGGCCCCTGGGAGGTCTGTGATAGGTGCTAAAACTCCTTCTTTCCACTTTTTCCATTTGACTGTGAATTTGACCTGGGGCTTCGGGATTGGTTTTGACATACAGATGCTGGCCTTGGAGAGCTGTTAGGCTCTGACAGTCTTTCTCCCAACAAGTGACAAAACAGGAGGCAAACTGTTTGCAGAAATGACTTTCGGGTGGAAACATACTCCTTGCATGTTCTGGGGTCTGCAGAATGACAACAGGGGTCCACAGCAGGGGGAGTAGCGGGTGCAGGGGGTGACGGAGAGGGTGATGAGAAATTCACGGAACATCTGATCTCAGACCAGATATTGGAGCTTCCCAGGACTGTCCGATCTCATTGTTAAAGCAGCCGGGGCAGAGGCTGTGGGTCCTGTTCACTCCCACGCAGGAGGGAAGCGATAAACACCCGGAAAGGCCCTCAGGGATGTCAGGCGGTGCCCGGCCTCCTGGCAGAGGCTCAGAGGGGATGCCCTGTGGGACTAGACCCCAGCAGGTGGAGGCCCAGGGCGACCCCTCCACATGTAATGGGCAATTTTGCCAGAGATGGGAATGCTAGCAGGGAAATGCAGGGCCCGCCCTCCGAGCCCAAAGCCCAGGTTCCTTCTCCTCAGAGGAAGGGAAGAGGAGGTGAGAGTGAGGGGCTAGCAGGCCAGGCCACGGGGGACGGGGACCGGAGGCTCCTGGGTGACCTGCAGCTGGGCTTGCTTGGTGCTGCTTCTGTGATGTGCTCCGTGCTGCGTGTTCCTTGCTCTCTGCTCTCCCTGAGCTGTTCTTGGAGCAAGGCTAGGGGTTCAGAGCCCAAGGCTGCTTCGAGGCCACCCCCAGGTGTTGCCGGAGTAGCCACAGAGGGGAACCGTCTGCTGGCTCACCTGGCCATGCCTATTTGAACACCTCCTCCCTCTCTGCAGCCTCTCGGGCTGTCTGGAAAAAGCAAAGGCAAGCTGAGGTAGGACATCTGCAGTTCCCTAGCAGAGCCGGTCACTCCTCCAGACCTCGGGGGAGGCCCTTCCCCTGGGGACCCATGGCCAGCGTTCCTCCTGCTGGCTCATTCTGGAGTGGCCTTCCCGGACCTGCACTGGGCACAGTCGCGCTCCCCAGCAGACACCCCTGAACCCTGACAGCCATCCTCAGCTCTGCCTGCTCTGGTCTGTTCTGTAGGCCCCTGCCAGGCTCCCTTGGCCTGTGGCTTTGGATCGGTTTCAGTCAGAGGGAGACACCAGCAGGAGGAGAGGGGGCAGAGAAGCGACAAAGGGGGGCTCTTTCTTCCCTGGCCCCCTGCTTCAGTGTCCTGTCTCTCGGGGCCCCTCTGTCCTTCCCTGATGATTGGTCGGGTGAGTGGCTGCTTCTGCTTGTCCCATCCTCCCCGGGGATGGTAATAGCTTCCAGCAGCTGCTAATCTCTGTGTGTCTCAACTTCCCAATTCATTCTTTAGCCCTGACTGCCCCTCTGCAAAGGGTCCCTTCATTAATATCTGATTTGAACCATCAGGGTAAACTCTGCCTCCTCTTCAGACCTTAACCCTGATGTCTCTGAAGGATTTGGGATCCTCTGGTGTGAACCTAGTCCTGTGCCAATAATTGATAAAGCTGGCAGGAAAATATGGGATTAGAGTACTAATTATCAAATTCATACTTAATCCAAGGTTAGAGTAATAATTATTAATATGACTACTAACAAAGCACATATATATGTAATTTTGCTTATTCTTGCAACACCACCTCCAAAAACTATGCGGGACACATGTGATTATGTCCATAATGAAAGTGAGTGTATTTATTAATCAGTGTTCTTCAGAGAAACAGAACTAAAGGGAAATGTATGTATATGCATGCGTGTGTGTGTGTGTGCGCGCGCGCGCACGCATAGAGAGAGAAAGAAAAGAGAGAGAGAGAAATGTAAGGAATTGGCTCACGATTGTAGAGGCTTGGTAAGTCTAAAATCTGCAGGTTAGGCCAGCAGGCTGGAGACAGACCCAGGGCAGAGTTGCTGTTGAGTTCAAAGGTCATCTGCTAGGAGAATTCCTTCTTGCTTGGGGGCCCTCAAAGCAGCTGCAGCAACCGAGTCTGACCTCCCAGCAAGGAGCTCCTGCTGGAGGTTTGTTTACTTTGAACAAAAGCTCACAAAGATGCCTACGATTCCCTCTGCACATAGGAACTTTCCATTTCTGCATTACGCAGGGCATACGTGTGTTATTTAGGTGTTAAAACAGACCAAAATGTGTTCTCCTGTCCAGAAGCAAGCAAAGCCAACTCCAGCTGCGTTCCCTGACAGCCCAGTTAATTAGGCCAAAGGAAACGGCCCCCCTGGAGGTGGGCGAGGCCCACAGAGGACGGTCGTGGTGGGAAACTCAGCAGGCGGAAATGTTCTCTTGGTTTCTGGGAGGCTGGAGATTTCCCAAGGGGCCAGTGGAGTTTCAGTCCCCACTGGTGGCAGCAGCCTCTCCAGATGGCCTCCCACTGCCATCACACCAGCTGTAGCAGGGAGGTGTAGCAGGGATGTACAGCCGGTGTTGCCCGCTTCATGGAGTTGACGGGAGCTGGGGACCTTGCCCCTTCCAAGCTGCGGCAGGAGCTCCCCAGGTGCTGCTGCAGCTATTCATACCATGGCTGCAGGCCTGGGCTTCCCACTCGAAGGAGCACACAAGAGCCCCACCCTCCTGTGAGGTGTTGCACCAGCCCAAGTCATGGCTGCAGAACTGAGCCTCCCTGTGCTCTTGGGGGTCCGGGAGCAGGCAGGAGCCCTGCTTTCCAGGTGCATCTGCAGCCGCCCAAACTCTCACTGCAGACGCGGGCCTGCTGCTCCATGCAGCGGGCAGGAGCCTCACCACTGGCAACCCCCGCAACCCGCCGCCCTCTCCGGGTACAGCTGCAGCCACCCAAACCCTGGCTGCAGACTCAGGTATCCCTGCACTCTTGGAGACCCAGGGAGGCCCCCTGACGTCGCAGGCTCAGAAGTGCCTGCTCCTGCTGCCTGGCTTCTCCCTGCTGTGGGTGCCAGCTTCATTCTTGGAGCAAAGTCTGGGCTTAGCCCGGGTGCCATGAAGCAGACAGATTCCTGGGTGGAAGGGGATAGGTCTCCGGTGATTCCCAGCCACATGTTCAAAGAATCTGGAAGGAATAGGATGGCTGGTGCAGAAAAAGGCTTGTGAATTCTGGATTTAGCTTTGAGGGCTTCAGCCGACCTGGAACGTATACCTGTGCAGGTGGTTGCTGGGTAGGGTGACCACTACCGTCTCTCTCCATCACCCAGGGCTGTGCTCAGCTCAAAGCCACAGAAGCCCAGGCACGGTGGCATCTCCGGGGGGAAGTTGCCTTATTCCAGATTCACAGGTCCAGGGGCAGAGGGGCCAGGGCAGGTGTGGGGCCGCAGGATATCACCCAGGGCCTGGCTCCTTCTGCCTTTCTGCTGCCATCTTCAGCTGGTGCCTTCACCTTGAGGCCTCTTGTGGTTGCTGGTGCTGCTGCGCTTGGCCTCCTGTCTGCCTCCAACTGGGCGAGGAGAAAGGAGGAGGTAAGAGGAGGGAGGGGCTTAAGTAGAAGGCCACACTTACCCAGAATCCCTAGTAGCCGCCTGTTCCGCAACCCCCCTCCTCATACTGCCTCCACTGGGCTAGAGCTGTGTCACACAGGCTGAGTGGCCAGGGAGCTGGGCACCATCCAGGAGCGTGTGATCGTCAGGGTCCTGCTGGTAAGAAAAGGGCATGTGGGTAGACATCTGGAGTGCCTGTCATGGTCCAATTAACTGGCTAAAGGGATTTGTGGGTATGCAGCTGTTTTCAATCAAAAGTACGTAATTCACATCTTCCCAAACACAGATTCCTGCTTTTGAGTAATGAAGGCGACCAAACCACGTGACCCTGCCTGCAAAGATCCCACCTGGACTCCCGGTTCCTCCAAGGAGCCATCGTGTGGTTCAAATCCATCAGAAATTCTCCAAATCTCCACCCTCCTCAGGGTGCAGAGTTGGCTGCTTTTCTGTGTCCCCTGCTGATCACCGCAACCACTGGGCGCCTTGGCCTGCGAAGCCTCAGCTGTCCTCCGTCTGCAGACGAGCCAAGGTATGAAAGCCTCCTTGCTGGCCCGGGAGCCTGTCATTGTCCTCCAGCAGCTCTAGCCTGGATGCGGTCCCAGAGATAAATCATATCCCTTTAAAATGCCATGGTGGCCCATTATTTTTGCTTGAAAATACCCCTGGCTCTCTGTTGGCGAGCTGGGTGACAGGCCCCAGCTGTTGTGCTCAGCGCTGCATACAGTCACGTCAGTCTGTTGACTTGTGTAGTGAGCAAGCCGGTAGCTTCGGATGGCGTGCACATGAAATCCAGTCCTGGCATGCAGGACTTGGCCGGGGGTCGCAGGGAGCCATGTCTACTGAACAGCTAGTAATACTTGACAGTCCCGGCCTCATGCCCATGTGAAACGCCCTGTTCATACCTGGCTACGTGGGCAATAGCAAAAAATGACACAATGGCAATCCCTGGGCTACGTTTCGCAATATTCAGCAACACTTGCTCAAAGAAATTGCAATCTTGAAAAATGAACTGAATACAATTAAAGAATTACTCTGGATATCTCAACCAGAAGAACACAGTGAACCAGCGTATACCCATCACACAGGCTCAACGGTTATCAGGGTTTGCTCCTTCCTTCAAGCTCTCTCCCCTCTTCCTGCCAACTTATTTTAAGGCAAATCCCAGACCTTACATGGATGTTTTCTAACATAGCTGCAATATCTTTATCACCTCCAACAAAATTAAAAATAATTCCCTATAATTGTCTAACATTCAGTCCATGTTAGAATTTCTCCAGTTGTCTCCCAAATGTCTTTTTCCTGTTGCTTTTTGGCAATCAAGATTCAAGAATGGCCACATGGCATCTGGTTGTTAAGTCTCCAGTGTCTCTTTGGTTGACAGTGATCCCCTGTTCCTCATTTTACTCTTCATTCTTGTTGAATTTTACTCTTCATTCTTGTTGAATTCCCAGGAGCAGTTGCCTCTGGGGTGCCACAGTTGCCCAGAATCCCTGGCAGCCACCTGTTCAAAGAATCTTGAAGCAATCAGATGGTTGATGCAGAAGAAGGTTCGTGAATTCCGGATTTAGCTTTGAATGCTTCAGCCGGCCTGGAATTTGTCTGTATTTGTCTGCCTGCTGCCTCATGGTGGCCCATTTTATTTCCTCTACCTGAAGGACAAGTGGATACCTCTGAGCAATCTGGGGGAAGAGAATCATGGTTTCCATTAAACCCAGCCTGGGGTTTGAAAACTCTGGGCAAGGGAAGGTATGTGCTTCAAGAAAATTTCCTGGATTCTTGCTGAACTAACAAGGCAAGGGTTTGCTCTTAAGCCTTACCACCTCATTCCCTAACAGCTCTGTTCTGGGTTAAGTCACTTTAATGAACTGCCCTGCCATTCCCAGGTGAGATGTAAATTAGAACCTGCAGTCCCAATACCAGAGCCATGTTCTCAGTATGTGAAGAAACCCTAACAGCCGAGACAGAATGAATGCCGGACTGATAAAGGGGCCAGGTCTACACAAGCACACCCATGGGACAACCCGAGGGCACGTTATTTTGGTCGGAGTTTTCTCCTGGGTCACGGGCATGAGACTAGGAAGGTCAAGGTTCGCTTGTTATCGTTGTGTGCTGGGCTCTGCTGTGGGCGCCTTCTTATTACATCCTCAGAACAGCCTCAGGATGACTCATGATTTCCTCACTCACAGACGAGGACCTGAGGCTCAGGAAAGATACATTTGCACGAGGTCTCGCATCTTGTAGGTCTGGGTTCAGCCTGGACCCACGGTTTCCATTCTTGCCCCAATCCTCCATTCCCTCCATTCCCTCCCAGCAGCCAATCAGTGGCTGTCCAGACATGCACGCCAGCTGTGTTGCGCCCCCACCATATAAACTTCTCCAATCACTTCCCACTGCTCCCCATGTGAACCCCAGGGGGTTCACCCTGTTCCAGGAGGCTCTGCCTGATCCATACCCCACACCCCTTCCTGCATCCCTGCAACGTGCTTTCTCCAGCTCCCCAGTCCTGGCTTCCTCTCTGTTCCCTGCACTTGTCCAGCCCAGTTCCGCCTCTAGGCATTGGCACCTGCTGTGCGCTTGACCTGGCGTGCTCTCCTGATGGCCTTTACTGGGCTAGAATCTTCTCAGTGCTCAGCCTGAGCTCAAAGCTCACCTCTTCAGAGAGGCCGTCCTCACCTCCCCATCCAATGTGGCCTTTCTTCCCTTCGCTCTTTCAATTCCCAGTTTATTTCCTGTAGAGCAGTTTCACCCTCTTCACCAATCTTGTTTTGTATTTCCTTGTTTATTGTGCCTCCTTTACCAGAACGCCCACCCTCTGAGGGCCCGGGCCAGGTCTGTGCTGGTCAGAGCTGTATTCTAGGACCTAGAAAAGTGCCTGGCATGATATCTGCTCAGAAAATGAAGGAATGGATGGATGGATGGAAGCCTGTCTTTGCTGAAGGCCCACTTACTGAGCCTTCAAAGTGAATCTAGGCCCTTGGCTGTTTCTATCTCTTTTGTGGTTAAATTCCAAAGGGCCTTGACAAACCCTTGTTTTGTTTTATGTTTTTCTTCTGTCTCAGTAGCCTTCTCTGCCCATCGGTCCACCTCGAGGAGTTGTAAGACACCGAGGGCTCTGAGCGGCAAAGCCGTTCCTCAGCAACAAGGAAATGATGTGTGGGATTTCTCTTCCTGCCTCATCCATGAGTTAGGCTGAATAAAGGCAGCTTCTTCTCCCCACTGTTGTATCAGCTTCCTAGGGCTGCCATAACAAGTTCCCACTCAGTTGGCGCCTTAAAACCATAGAAATTCGTTCTCCCACAGTTCTGAAGGACAGAAATCCAAAATCCCAGGGCTGTGTTCCCTCCAGGGGCTCCCCAGGAGACTCGGTCCCTCACCTCCTGCCACTTCTCCGGCTTGTGGCTGCTTCGCTCCAGTCTCTGCCCCCTCCTCCTCTGTGGATCTGTGTCATCTCCCTCTGCCTGTCTCCTGTAAGGACTCTTGCGATAGCATTTAGCATAATCCTTCCATGTCAACGTCCTTAACTTTATGACATTTGCAAACCCTTTTGACAAGCAAGGTTGCATGTACAGGTTGCAAGGATGAGGACTTGTGTCTCTGGGTGGCCATTATTTAACCTCTGGTGCGGCTCTACCTTCTCCCGTGACCCTCCTGGAAGTTGGGCTCACTGGCTGCTCTTTCTCTGGGACTCCACATTCTATTCATGATGTTTTAATCTCTAACCACCTCAGCACCTGAGGGAAAAGGACCTTGCTATAAAAAAGAAACACTTCTCTTAATTACCCTTGTACCTGGAATACACTCTGGGCAGGGAGTGGCGGGGCCTGGGGCCATCCATCCCCTGGTCCTGTCTCTGGCTCCAAGCTGCCTTCCGCAGACCCCATCACCACTCTCCTCCGTGGCATTTAATCAATGGCCTGTCTGGGGGTTCTGAGTGATGCTGCCTCTTGTGAGATGAGAAGTTGCAGCTGCCTCTGGAAAGACTGTTTCAGAAGAGGGGGATCCCAGGTTCTCCCTCTGCTGGGTAGGGGGCAGGTCACAGGAGATTCTTTGGCCCCTGGGCAGCCCTTGGGGCTCCTGAAACTTCACAGAGGCAGCAACACCATGGAACGTGCTGCGGCCCAGGCTCCTCTAGGCCTGGCCCAGGGACGGGACAGAAGAGATGCCAGAGCTCTGCGCCCCTGCAAGACCCAGCTCCCTGGTTTGCTCACAGCCCCAGCCCTACCATCACTTCTCTGGGAACCGGCAGGCTGTTCCCATCTCCCCTTTATCCCCGGGCAGCCAAGAAGGCCCAGGACCCAAGCCCTCCCTCATCCCCACTCCAGTCTTCCCCAGCTCTGCGGCATGAGGATCCCCTACTCTCCCTGAGCCCCTTGACCCCTCCCACTCCCTGAACCCAAGTCCCCTTCCGGTCCTCCACCCCCTCCCTGCCTGCTTTGTCCCACAACCCAGCCACCCCTGCACATACTCAATTTCTCAGTCATTTACTTGTTTTGAGTTCTAGAACACATGCTCTGGGCAGCGAGAGCTTTTGTCTCCAGAGTTTTGAGCTCACGTAAAACAGGCAGTGGCTCTGGAGAGGGGGAAGCCCCATGGCTGCCCATCAGGGAAGCAGCTCAGGGCAGCAGGCACCTGCGTGGGGATGGCAAAGGGCACAGTCCACTTGGTCTTGGCCAGTCCTTGGTGACCAGGGACAGAGAATGGTGAGGGGCACTAAGACCAGGGCTCTCCAGGGCCTCCTATGGCTGTGGGAGAGGCCTAGCAGGGCTCGTGCTTGGAGGTGATTATGAGGCATCAAAGTCATGGAGGTGAGACCAGTCCCTCCTCCGGTTGCATCCTGTGTTCCCTGCATCTTTGTGCCTGTACTTGGTGGGGTAATTGTCCCCAGAACCAGCCCAATTGTCACATAGAACTGATGTTTATGGTTTCTTTTGAGTAAACATAGAAATTGACCCTCCCAGTCTTGCAACTTGAGAAAGTTACATTTGTCTTATCTGAGTTCCTTTCTTAAAAAAGCAGCCATCAGTCCTCCCACATGGCATCAAGAAACTGAAACTTACCAGATCACTGCATCTGGACAATGAGAGCCGCCAGATCCCTCACCCATCAGGACTGCTGACCACCTGCCTCTTGTTGACCGACTCTTCTTCCCTAATTCCTGTTTTCCCACACATGGTTACATTTATTCCCTGCTGTATAAACCCCTAACTGTAGTCAGTCAGGAAGACAGATTTGAGACTGATCTTTCACTTTCTTGGCTACAGCACTGATGAAAGGTTTCCTTTCTGGTAATACTTGTCTCAGTGATTGACTTTCTGTGTGGTGAGCAGGAAGGTCTAGACCAAACTCCTGGGGTTTCAGTAACATCCCCCCATTACTGTCTACTGGATGCAGATAGGTAGCTGGTTTGGTCCCGTAATTTACAATATGATTAGAGAAGACATTCAACCTCTCCAAATTTAAAGGGACATAGACATGATTTTTTTTTCCTTTTTCTCTTCTTTCTTTATTCCTGTTATTTGTTTGCTTTTCATTTGTTTTTCCCTTCAGAAGGAGAGCTGTATTTAGAAGCATACTCACTAACATGCTATTTTCTAGTAGCAAAATTCTGGAAACGAGAGGGAATAGGAGAATAAAGTATGGTATGACTGAAACCAACCCGATTGCCGCATAGACACTTCTTTTTGATAAACATAGACATTGGCCCTCTGGTCTTAAGAGGCTTGAAACATACTTGTTTCATCGGAGTTCCTTCCTCAGGAAATGACCTTTGGGCCTGTCACAAAAAGTTTCAAAGAACTGAAACCAGATCACTGCGGGACCCCTCATCCACCATGATTGCTTCCTTGCCCCTTCCAAGTTCCTGTTTTCTTGCACATTGTTACATTTCTTGCCTGCTATATAAACACCTGATTTTAGTCAGTCGGGGAGATGGATTTGAGGCTAAGCTCCCATCTTCTTGGGGGCGGCACCTGATTAAAGCCTTCTTCCTTGGCAATAGTTTTCATCTCAGTGATTGGCTTTCTGTGTGATGAGCAGCAGGACCTAGTCCAACCCCCTGATGTTTTGGTAGCATAACTGCTCAGTGGACTATTATGCAGGCAATTCAAAGTAACTCCATGTCAAATGTGAAGTAGTGTGAACTATGAAAACTAAGACCACACAAAAACATTTTAAAGGAGAAATAACCAATAGGAGATGAATATACATAAAATAAAAAATTGGTTTGCACAATTATGGAGACCGAGAAGTCCTACAATCTGTCATCTGCAAGCTGGAGACCTAGGAAAGCCAGTGATGGTGTTCAACAGACTGAGCCAGAGCAATTGGTAGATGGCAGTTCAAGTCTGAAGGCAGGAGACTCATGTTTCAGCTCAAGCAGTCAGGCAGAGAGGCAGAGAGAACCCAACCCTTCCTTCCTTCCTTCCTTCCTTCCTTCCTTCCTTCCTTCCTTCCTTCCTTCCTTCCTTCCTTCCTCCCTCCTTCCCTCCCCTCCCTTACGCTCCCTCCTTTCCTCCTTCCTCTCCTCTCCCCTACCCCCTCCTTCCTTCCTTTTCCCTCCTTCCTTCCTCCCTCCCCCCTCCCCTTCCCACCTCCTTTCCTCCTTCCCCCCTCCCCCCTACCCTCCCTCCCTTCCTTCCTTCCTTCCTTCCTTCCTTCCTTCCTTCCTTCCTTCCTTCCTTCCTTCCTTCCTTCCCTTTTCTCTCCCTTTTCTTTCTTGTTTAGAGATGGGGTCTTGCTCTTTTGCCCAGGTTGGAGTGTAGTGATGTGATCATAGCTCACTGTAGTCTCAAATTTCTGGTCTCAATTGATCCTCCCACTTCAGCTTCCCAAGCAGCTGAGACTGTATGTGTGCATCACCACACTTGGCTAATTTGTTTTTTAAGTTCATTTTTTGTAGAAATGGGGTCTCCCTATGTTGCCCAGGCTGGTCCCATAGTCCTGGCCTCAAGTGGTCCTCCTGCCTTCGCCTGCCAAAGTCCTGGAATTACAAGCATGAGCCCCTGCACCCAGCCAGAATTCGACCTTTCTAAGCCCTTTCATTCTATTCACTCATCCTCAATGGGTTGAATGATGCTCCCCCACACTGGGGAGGGTCTGCTTCTATGCTCAGTCTACTAATTCAAATGCTAATTTCTCTCAGAAAAAACCTCACAAACATACCCAGAAATAATGTTTAATCAGATATCTGGGCATCCCCTGGCTCAGTCAGGTTGACACAAAATTAGCCATCACACACAGTAAGAACCTATACCAATAGCCAGACTCTGTCAAGTCCCTGCCAGTCACCTAGCAACAGGCAAAGTGTTTAAGGCAGTGCTTCTCACACTTCGATTTGCTCACAAACCACCTGGGGGTCTTGCTAAACTCGAATTCCCATTCAGTAGGATTTGGGTGGAACCCCAAACTCTGCATTTTTGATACGCTTCTAGGTGATGAAGAGGCTGCTGGTTTACAGACTGTACATTGAGAAGCAAGGTCTTAAGATATACTGACCTTGAGCTTTCCCAACAATCCTTGAAAAGAGAGGGTTCTGCGAAGGGAAGCAACCTGTCAGGTAAGGGACCTCTTCAGTTACCCTACATTGTCAAGTGAGTGATGTCCTTAGGTAAGTACCCTCCCTAGGGTCACACGAGTAGGTACATGGTAGAGCCAGGATTTGAACACCCATATCCCCCATTCCAAAACTCCCATTATTCTCAAATCTGCTATAACTGCAACCACATGGGTGATTTCTCTAACATTTTTCTTAAAGTGTGTTTTGCATCATTATCTTATTAGGTAAAAATTGATTAACAAGATGACTTCTCTTCTCCCAATCACCAGACTATAAAAATTGCTTTTGTGTTAAACTGTTCTGATGGGATTGTGGGAAGTAAGTGAATGTGAAAATTCCTTGGAAGGATGGCAGATAATGAGCATCTATCACACAAGCTCTTACTGTCTGTAGCTCAGCACAAGCCAAAGACGTTTTACAGTGGCCTAAAATTGCAGTCATTTTTACCATAAAAATTTGTCACTGCAAGAGTAACACAGTCTTGACGGGTCTGCTATTACCTTGATAAACATTTTCCACCGGGCGAAACTCTGAGCGCCTGTTCTCACTTGCACACTGACACTGTGCTCAACAAAGCTGTAGTATGTCTGGCTCCTGCCTTCTTCACCCTTGGACACGACCATGTAGAGAAAAATTCCAATTTAGGATGCGTCTCTCCTGGTCATGCTTTAGAAAACCGGGAGAATATATATCTCAGTCTATGTGTTCTTATTTTAGGAAAAGTTAGGAAAGAAGAAATTATTAAAATAAGTAAAATGAAAACCAAACCTCAGCATAGTCAGAGAGTCCAAAGGGAGTGGGGGCAGAATGAAATGGATATTATTTCACATTTCTTCTTTGCTCTGTTTTAAGATTTTGTATTTTTATTTTTTGATGAAAATATGCACCTAAGGTGACACTGAAAATCTATACCCAAGGAACAGTATCAATTACAAAAAAGGCCCTGTCATCTAATTTTTCAAGGAAAAGCAAAAGTACGTTTATATCCAGATACTTGGGACAGAGAGGTTTTATTGCTGATTGATCTACAACGGCCACTGTTTGCCACTTCATTCTGGGTGTGCAGACACAGACTTTGCATTGACAGACGAAGCTCAGGTTGTCTTGTCACAGGTGGTCTCTTAGATCATGTTAACCTAAGAACAGGAGCAATCAGGGGTAGAAAGTCCAGCCCTGTGATCTGGGCTCACGACTTCTTCCCAGGCCTCGCTTTGCTCAGGGGTTACACTAATGGGCTTCACGAGGTGACCTCTAGGATCTTTTGTGTGACTGAAGTTTAGAAGTAAAGAACCAGGTTGGCTGTGAGAAGATGTGTCTTGCACACAAAAAGCCAGCCAGGGAAGGCCTTGGTTTAATAATCTACCCCTTACTATCGTGTGACACCAGGGTCAGAATCAGATAGAGAGCTATGGCTGCAAGGAACAGAAAATTTAGTGGGAACAGGTGTGACCAACAGGGAAATTTGTGAGCTCAAGCCTTCAAAAATCCCAGAGATAAACAGCATCAGGAATGATTGGATCAGGCTGTGGCTCAGTTTCCCTCAAGTTCTCTCAGTTCTTTTCTCTCTTATGGGTCATGATTTCAGGCTGTCTTCTCTCACGGCAGCAGAGAAGGCTGCAGTGGTTCTAAGAGCTGCATCCTGTCCAACTTATCCAGAGGAAACCATGGAAAAGCCAGGAGCCCAGGCAACATCTTACCTTTCACTGGCCCACGTGGGCCAGGTGCCCATTCTTGAATCAGTCAAGGTCAGAGAGTGGGAAGAGCTGGCTGCATCAGGCCAATCACAGCCCACTGCTGGAGCTGGGGGCAGGGTCGGGGCTACGGGCTACTGGGCTGCGAGATTTGGGGTTGGGTGAAGAAGGGCCTGGTGAATTGTTGCTGTAATCTTCCAACAGGGGCCCAGCGCAGGGAGAAAGTCACTCCACCTCCTTCCACAAAAGATAAACAGTCATAATCTTCTTCCAACCTTGCCGCGTTGTTGTAAGGACCGAAAGAGGTCGTGAGAGGCAAAGCTTTGGTATGAGCAAAGCCCTGCATAACTGTTAGCAGGAGGAGCAGGCACTGCAGCTGCTGCTGATCTTGTTATCAAGGTACCCAAATTTGTTTACTGTGAAGTTGGTTCTTTCTGAATGACGAAGTGCCTGGTGTCAAATATCTCAATCAAGGAAACTAAAAAATTCTATTTCTTTATTGTGAAATCGATATTGCATGAAATTGATTTTTTAATTAAAATTAGTTTTCATGACACAATTAATACATAAGTGTATTTCCCTGTAAGAAAACCAAGACATTAAAGACAAGCTCAGGTCTCCATTGATCTCCCCCAGGCTACCAGCCTGCCCACAGTCATTGCTGGGTTGGGCGTGAGCCCTCTCAGGGGCTTTTCCTAAGCAGTCGTCTATATGGTTACTCAGACAAGATATAGAAATAAATTCAACAAATGCTTATTAAGTACCCACTGTGTGCCAACCATCGCCTCCATGGAGCGTACATTCTGCTGAATGAGGCAGATGAAAAATAAAATACAGAGCAGAGTCAGAAATGGAAGGAACCCGGGTGGGGACTGGTGGTTATGGCCAGGGGAGGCCTCTGGGAGGAGGTGGCATCTGAGCAGAAGGAGGTGGTCATGGGTCACCTGGAGGAGGACTGGTCCCCCAGAGGGGACAGCAGGAGCAGTAGCCTGAAGCGGGAACATGCTGCATTTCCAGGGCATGGTGGCTGGTGGGTGGCATTTGGGGAATGGCAGGAGCAGGGCAGAGAAGACAGGAGAGGTGGGGAGCAGAGAACAGCTGGGCAGGGCCAGGTCTGTGCAGCCTGGGCTTGGAGTGGACTCTAGAGGCTTTTGGGCAGTTGATATATTTATGTAAGTGTGTCCCAATCCATCTCATGTATTATATAGAATGCTCTTGAGGGGTTCTGAAACACATGTATATCTGTGTCCATATGTGTGTGTGTTTATATGGGTGAATTTATGCCTGTGTCCGTGTGTGTGTTTATATGGGGTGAATTTATGTCTATGTCCATATGTGTGTGTGTTTATGTGGGTGAATTTATACATTGTTTGCATCCTCCTACATTTTTCCTTTTCACGCAGGGCAGCCCAGACCCCGTTGATGTGAGGGTTGCACGAGGTTCTGCCTCATTCCTCACTGTGCCTAGTGTTCCTTGGGGAGGCTCCACCAGGGCTGGCTTTGGCCCTTCTGTGTTGATGGGAGTTCCAGTGGGTTCCAATTTTCTGCCATTACAAACAGCCCTGCAGGTCCACGTCTCCTCATGGACGTGGGAGGATCCTCCAGGGCACAGCTGGAGAGGTGGAGGTGCTGGACCCAGGGCACAGGCATTTGAAATCTTTCTTGTTCCTGCCACTATCTCTTCTGAAAGGGACATTTGACCTGAGATCGTTCCCTCTGGGGTGCTCATCAGTGGGGACCCAGCAGACACCCTCTCGGGGCTAAAATTCCTTTAGATATGAACCAAGTTGGGTTCACCCTGAGAATGACCCCTGAAGGCCAGGCCGAAGTCAGGTGCATGCAGGTCCCCCAGAGAATAGCAGATTCTTTCTATCCATGTCCATGCAGGGGCTGTTGGGTATGAGTTGGCTGTGGGGAGGCAGGACGTGCCCTCTTTGCAGAGTGGTGGGAGCTGGCACACACCAGGCACTATTCCCCATGCCCTTATGGGGAATAAGGGCTCACTTAGTCCTCACGCCAACCCCACGAGACACGGCACTATTACTAAGCTCCCCATGCTACAGATGGGAAAGCTGAGGTAGAGTGGTCGAGGCACCTGCTTAGGGGGGCAGTTTGGCTCCAGAGACCATGTTCTTAACCGCTAGGCCATTTGGCTCCATCCGTTGAATCAGGCTAGGAGGCAGGAATCCTAAATCAGGGACTTATACACAGTCAACCCCAACACACACACACCCCTCCCACACACACACACACACCACACACTCCCCGCCACACACCACACACATCCACACACCACACACTCCCTCCCACACCACACACACCTACATGCCACACACACACACGCCACACACACACCACACACACACCACACACACACCACACACATACATCACACATACCCCTCCCACACATACCCCCCACACACACCACATACACCTACACGCCACACACTCACACCACACACACCCACACGCTACACACAAACCCACACACACATACCACACACACGCCACACACACACCACACACATACATCACACATACCCCTCCCACACATACCCCCCACACACACCACATACACCTACACGCCACACACTCACACCACACACACCCACACGCTACACACAAACCCACACACACACCACACACACGCCACACACACACCACACACATACATCACACATACCCCCCCACATACCCCCACACCACATCCCACCCACACACCCACACACCCACCCACACAACCACACCACATACCACCACACCACACACACCACACACATACATCACACATACCCCTCCCACACACACATGCCACACACACACCACACACATGCCACATACACCACACACATACATCACACATACCCCTCCCACACACACACCACACACATACATCACACATACCCCTCCCACACACACACGCCACACACACACCACACACATACATCACACATACCCCTCCCACACACACACGCCACACACACACCACACACACGCCACACACACCACACACATACATCACACATACCCCTCCTACACACACCACACCACACACACCACACACTCCCCACCACACACCACACACATCCACACACCACACACTCCCTCCCATACCACACACACCTACATGCCACACACACACCACACACGTGCCACACACACACCACACACATACATCACACATACCCCTCCCACACACACCACACCACACACACCACACACTCCCTGCCACACACCACACACATCCACACACCACACACTCCCTCCCACACACACACCTACACGCCACACACACACCACACACACGCCACACACACCTACACGCCACACACACACCACACACACATACATCACACATACCCCTCCCATACACACACCACACACACCTACATGCCACACACACACCACACACGCGCCACACACACACCACACACATACATCACACATACCCCTCCCACACACACCACACCACACACACCACACACTCCCTGCCACACACCACACACATCCACACACCACACACTCCCTCCCACACACACACCTACACACCACACACACGCCACACACACCTACACACCACACACACACACCACACACACATACATCACACATACCCCCCACACACCACACCACATCACACCTACCCCCACACACACCACACACACCCCGCCACACACCACCCACATCCACACACCACACACTCCCTCCCACACCACACACACCTACACGCCACTCACACACCACACACGCCACACACACACCACACCACACCTACCCCCCCACACACCACACACACCCCGCCACACACCACCCCCATCCACACACCACACACTCCCTCCCACACCACACACACCTACACGCCACTCACACACCACACACGCCACACACACATACATCACACATACCCCCCCACCAACCACATACCCACACCACACCATGCCCCCCCACGCACCACATACACCTACATGCCACACACACACCACA